AGCAGTTATAAAATATGTCAATTATATTTCGACACGCCCCCATAAGTGCTTGTAGGTAGAAGTATAGTTACGCCCCCTGAGGGGGTACACCATGCAAAATAACAAGCAACAGCAGGTACTGCAGGCGGGCTAACTCTGGATGGTCACCCACTCCATCTCCTCACCCTCCTCCTTCCCCTCCCCCACACTGCTGCAGGAGCAGCAGAGAGGGGGGGGAAAGAGGAGAGGTGGAGGGACGGGTGCTGGTTGCCTCACACCCGCCACCTCGGTGCCAATCCCCCTTCTCCCCCACACCCTCACACCCTCCCCCCCAGCGGCAGCTGCAGCAATGGGAACGAAAGGAGGAGGAGGGGAAGGGAAGGAAATGACCCAAAACTCCAACACCCGCCACCCCCATACCCTCCTCCCCACGGCTGCAGGGAGACAAAGGAGGAGGGGGGTGGGCGGGAAGAAAGCCGCAGAGCGGCTACTATATGTTGGCGCAGGTAGGTCAGGGGCGGCTGCAGTGAGGACGGGTGCGGAAAGGCCCGTCGCGTGCCAAGGGGCGCACGACGGGTAAGTTTAAGAGTAGGGCCCGTTCGTGTGCCTCGGGGCGCACGACGAGCAGGGCACCGTCGCGTGCCACGGGGCGTACGACGGGCAGGTTTAGGGCACCGTCGTGTGCCACGGGGCGCGCGACGGGCAGAGAAAGAGTCACACGCCAACCGGGGGCGGGACTAGAAGAAAATCGCCACGCGCCCTAGGCGCGCGACCGGAAAAGTAGCAGCGGAAGCTTAAGGCGGGCCCACACAGGCCAGATCGAAACGTGCTCTGAATCCATGTCAAAATAAGCGAGAGTGAGCTAAGTTTTAACTAGGGCCTAGGCTTAGGAGCCTAGGCCCAACTTAGGTATCGAGTGAGTTGGGGCAAGGGTGAGAGGATCTAGGAAGTTGGAAAGGAGAAAAGATGGGTTTCACTATAGGTTCAAGGAACATATAGCATAGGAAACAAATGAAATTGGTGCACCACCTACAAAGCACAATAACTACACTACAACTACAAGCAGTTATAAAATATGTCAATTATATTTCGACAGTCTATCCGTACTGTCACGTCGGTGCCAATCAGGTAACACCGCCAAACCTTGAACGCGTGCACGATCGCCAACATTTCGCGGTCGTGTATCGGGTAGTTGCGTTCGGGCGGGTGCAGCTTGCGGGACTCGTACGCGATTGGCTGGAGGCCGTTCCCAAAATCGTGCAACAGTACTGCTCCCACAACGATGTCAGTTGCGTCAGTGACGAGCTCGAACGGACGGTGTGGGTCTGCGATGTGAAGCACGGGCGGTGAGCACAAAATGTTTTTGAGGGCCGAGAAGGCAGCTTGCTCTTTCTCCCCCCACGTGTACTCAACCCCCTTCCTCAGCAGGTCCGTCAGCGGGGCAGTCAGCTTCGCCATGTCGGGGACGAACCGGCGCACGTAGTTGACGAACCCCAAAAATCTTTGCAACTCGGTCAAGTTGGTCGGTGCGTGCCATGCTTGAATCGTCGCAATTTTCTTCGGGTCTATTTCCACTCCTACGGCTGAAACAACGTGTCCCAAATATTTCAGGCGGTCCTGTAAAAACTGACACTTAGACGCTTTTGTCAGTAGGCGGTTCTCACTCAGTATTTTAAAAACTGCTTCAATGTCCTGCAAGTGCTGTGCTCTGTCCGGGCTGTAAATCAGTATGTCGTCCAGGTATACTATGACGCACTTATCTAAGAGCGGGCGGAAGGCTTCGTTCATGGTCATTTGAAAAGTGGTGGGGGCGTTGGTCAGTCCGAAGGGCATGATGGTGTATTCGAAGGATTCGTAGCGTGTTCGAAATGCGGTCTTAGGGCAGTCGGGCGGATTGACGCGAATCTGGTGGTAACCCCCTCGGAGGTCGATTTTCGAGAAAACCCGGGCTGTGCGCAGTTGGTCGATCAGTTCGTCGGCTCGCGGGATGGGGTAACGGGATTTGATGGTAACCCTGTTCAGTGCTCTGTAATCTATGCACATGCGAAATCCCCCGTCCTTTTTTGGTGTGAACAGTATCGGTGCTGCGAACGGTGACAAACTAGGGCGAATGAACTCCTTCTCGAGCAGGTAATCGAGCTGCTTCCTCAATTCGTCCAGTTCGGGCTGGGTCAGTCGGAACTGTCACTGTACTGTTGGTTGTGCCCCCGGTTCTAGCTCTATCGTGTGGTCGTGCGGTCGCTGAGGTGGCAGTCCCGTCGGTAAATCGTCCGGGAAAATGTCGCTGTACTGCTTCAACAATGCTGCCGGATCACTCGGTACGTCGGCTAGCAGTTTCTGTAAATCCCCTCCTTTGTCTGCTACCTCGGCTTCCCGAATGTCGACTGCGTACACGTTAACTCCTACCGCTACGGCGCGTTTCATCGTGATCGCGTTGACCCGCACCGACAAAGACTCAGGTGAGCCCCAGCGAGGTAAGACGATGTTGTTACCGTTCACTCGCACGGTGCAGTCTTCGTCGTCCAGTCGATTCGCGGGTTGTGTCGTCGCAGCCAATCACGGGCGAGTAAAATATCGGTTCCGTCGAGGGTCGTCGCGAGCATTTCCTGGCTAAACGTGAAGTTACCCCCACATCGAATTCGAACCCGGTCTAAGCGTTCCCGTATTGCCAGCGGCGTGCCGTCTACCAGTCTTGCGTCGATCTCAGGTAAACATCTGTCCAGTCACAGTCGCAGTTTTCGTGTTGTGGCAGTGTTGATGAGGCTGTGGCTGGCTCCCCCGTCTACAAAGATTTTTACTAAGTCTGTCCCGATTTTCCCACTAAGCAGTATGGGGCTGTCTACCGTAGTACCCTCCTTATTCGGTCGGGTGTGGTCCATTGCAAGAACCGGCACAATCACTTGGTGAGGGTCGGTTGGGTCGAGCGAGCGGCGTGACCTTTCAGTAGAGGGCCCGTCTGCTACCGACTCCCAGTGTTTCCCTGCTGCTTGGACTGCTTCTGCTGCTCAGCTTCCCCCTTTCCCTTAGTGTTTTCTGGGCATTCGCTCTTGCGATGTCCCTGCCGATTGCACGCAAAGCAACGCCCTTTGAATGGTGCGACAGCGGCATTTGCGGTGACGGCACGTATCGTGGCGCCCTCGTTCGTCCCACGAGGCCGATGTCCCCAATGGCTGCTTCCGTAGGACCCCGGTCTCGGTCGACGGAAGAAATCGAGTTTCTCTGCCATAGCGAGAATTTCTTGAAAGTCGGTGACGCCGCGAAGTTGGATTTGAGCGATCTCCTGCTTCAGGCCGCCGATGTAGCGGTCGATGCACTCACTCTCGTGCATATATCCCACCTGCTCGCATAGCGCCAGAAATCTGCTCGTGTAGTCTTGGACGGAACCGAGTTGGCGCCAAGTGCGGAGCTTCTGTCGCGCCGTGATCGAAGCCGCGATTGGCTCGAAACAAGCGTGCAGACCTGCGCACCACGCGTCCCACGTGCGATACTGGGGCACCTCCACGAAATACGACAGCGCCCAGGGTCCGGTTTGTCCTTCCCATGCCGGTAGAGTCGCGTAGTCCACCGGCTTCGTGACGATGACGCGCCACCAGTCCATGGCGGGTCCTCGCAGCAACGACACGGCGTAATGAATCTTCGCCGTATCCTCCGAGACGTAGTTCGCGTCGAAGAAAACGTTCAACGTGAAGAGCCACGCCTGACTGGTAGGACCACCCCGCTTGTCAGAATGTTATCTTATGTTCTAGCCTGTAGTGGGGTGCTCTATAGCGAGTACAACCCTTCTAGGGTTTGCTATTTGTATCCTCATTCTTGCTAGTTCAAACCCTTCTTTCTTCTAATTTTGTCACCGTTGACTTGGGTCAAAACATGGCAGACGCTGCGGCTTTAGCGGCATCGGCGACGGAAGAGTTGATCCGCCGGCCGGCACTGAGATCGTGACTTGAGGTTGAGTCCTGGCCGCATTCGTCGCGTCGGGGTGTTTCGTGCCGTAGTCGTCGTCTCCGTCATGGCGGACGACGCCATCACTTGCGGCGCTCGCGAGTTGCCCCACACTTCCGTGCTGTGATGTTTGTGGTGCGGGCTGAATCGGAGTGACAGGTGCTTGGGATTGTGCTCTTGTGAGGTCGTTTTGCAGGGACGAGTGTTCTGCCGTCAGCGTCGCAATTTCCTCGGCGCTCTCGCGGATTTGTCGCAACAGATCATTCAAGTGCTCCTACGTGAGAGTCGTGACGTCGATGTGTTCAACCATTTCGAAGGGCGTCGGCTCGTCTTAGTCTGGGCGCAATCGTGGCTGCACGCGTTTACGAGAGAACGCGAGGACAGCGGCTCCTAGGTGCTAAGGTACGTGAGTCCCTTCGAGTGAAAAATCAAAAGTTGATTTCCTGGGGTGCGGAGATGCACGGTCCGAAAGAAAGGGGCTCTGAATACCAAGTGTTACGGGTGCAATGAATCGAAGTAGCGAGAATTGCACTAAGGTGTCAAACGAGTACAAAGATGTGAGCGAAGGCATGAGCGAACATTTATACGCGAAACATGCAAACGGTAATGCTAGTGCTATGCTGGCAGCGAGGCTCGGGCTAGTCCCGAAGCGTAGGCCGACACGGCCGGGCCAGCAGTGCGAGGTTTGGCAAAACAGTGCGCGCGAAGTTGGCGAAGTCTCGTTAGCAGTAACGGGCGAACAACGGCTGTTGCTGTACGCGATGTAGTCGGGCTCAGTAAGGAATGCTGAGAAAATTCCTTACACTGTGACAATAACTGCCCCAATTTACTGTAGCTGATGACGTACAATCGCGCACTTTCGTTTTGCTTCACTTATCCAAACCCACAATGCAACACAATAGCTGACAGCCACATTTGCCACTTGCTATTCAGACTGTGCATACTTCTGATTTTCAATGGAATCCTTTACTTCAACAAAACCCCAACGTTATTACAGGGGTTTCTTGTGCCTGTCACAGTTCCAGTCCAGCACACAACTCATCCAAGCACCCTAGGAAACAAACAAGCCTTTTTTCATAACTTCAAGCTGCCTTCACGCAACTACAAAGGGAGTCAGAATCGCTGCTGCTCCCTCCAAATTCCCCACCATCAGCTTCACCAAGGGGCACATCACCACCCTCCAAAGCAGCCACTTCCTCCACAACATCCCCCTCCTCCCTCTGCTCCCCAGAGTGCCACCAGCACCCGCCATGCCCCTCGAACACGGCCTCAGCACGCACAAACCCCACCACGCGCCGCTCCTCCCCCGCGCCCCTCTGCACCGCCTCCTTGGCGAGCCCATAGCGCATGCGTGCACTGCCCGCCACCACCGCCGCCAGGGGCGTGCGGCACGAGGAGAGGAGCAGAGCGGCTTCGGAGACGGTGGAGAGGCACGAGAGCGAGGGCGGGGGGGGCAGCATGAGGTGCATGATAAGGGTTGTGGGGTCCTGGGGTTGGGGGGGAGAAGAGTGGGAAGGGGTGAAAGGGAGGGGAAATGGAATTGTGGTGAAAGTGAAACTTTTGATGGGTGTGTGGATGGAAGAAAGATGGCGGAAAGGGCAGGTGAGCTGGGGTGATTTCTGAAATGCCTTCATGATACGTGAAGGTTCGGAGAAGTTACCATGGCATATGATGCTTATGAACGTTGACACTAGCATCTGACCCATATGCTTTGACAACGAGCCATGGCATGTGACCCATGTGCGACTCACCACAGCATGGTTTGGTACTCTCAGAACGCCCACGCATTCATCAGCACCGTTGATCACTGGGATGACGTCAGCAGGCATCAAATCTGGCCATGCTGACCTCAGCTCCGCCAGTGACTGGTCAGGGTGGGCCACTGCCACGTCAGCCAGGGGAACCATGACAGACTGCACCGTATCACGCAGCGACAGCTGGCAGGCACAAGGGCATGAAGAGCAAGGAAACAGGAGGGAGAAAAATAGAGAGGGAAGTGGGTTGGTTCAAAGGTTTGCCAATCAAGACTGGAGGGTGGGTCCCAGATAGTGGGTGGAGATGTGCAGAACACAGCCTTAGAGGGCGGGTGAGACAGGGGGGTCTGCAGGGAAAAAAATTGCTGGATTTTCAACAGTCATCAACCGCTCCACAGAACATATGCACAGACCAGCCCACAATGAGTTCCCCCCTCCCAACCCCACCTCCTTTCCCACAAGAACTCATGAAAAGGCCAACTGGGAGAATAGGTGGGGCTAGTAACACAGGGGAGCCACACAGGGCTTGAAGTGGAAAACGAGAGGGGAAAAGGGAAGGGAGACGGCGGGGGATAGAATGGGCAAGTGTATGTGTGTGGAAGAGTGAAAGAGAGACCGTTACGGAGGAGTGGAAGACTGTGGACAAGTGAGAGAGACTGTGTGGAGGTGTGAAAGAGATGGGTGAAGAATGGAGAGAGAGAGAGAGAGAGAGTGGAAGGAGCACCGTTTTGGGCACCTCTTGTCTGATGCCGATGGGCGTGAAGCGCTCAAAGCCCGCCCCCGTTGCTGCCATCAGCTGCACCACCGCCTGCCACGAGCCAACAGGAATGAAACATTCCATAACAGCGGTCAACACGAGTCAACGGAAACAGTCGACAGAGTTTGACCAGCGTCAACAGCAGTCAACAAATGCCAACAACAGCTGATCTCTTTTCCGTTGCCATGGACATGGCATGCAACAGGTGAAAGAACGGAAGTTGCTGTTCCGATAGAGCAAGGCTGTGAAACCGTATTTACTTCCATGCATGCATGGAACGACCTGCCGTGACACAGTCTCTCCACTTCACTTCCTGCCCAGTCCCCACCCGCACGCCCCTAACTGCATGCGCGCTCACCTGCATGCCGCGCAGGGACATGCGCAGCTGGTGCCCGTGCATAGCCTCCATCTGATCCAACAGCCGCGCTGCCACACCCATCTGATGGAGGAGAGGGACATGGAGGGGGGACATGGCGGTCAATGCTACCCTTGCATCTTGGAAATTGCCAGGTATTCTCCTGTATACGCTTCGGATTATTAGAACCGGAGGCCAAGAAGGCCTAAATTGGCCAACCTTTCCTAACTTCGGTTTAGTTTGGCCCTGACACCAATAATCTTGGCCAATTGGTATTGCTCGCCCCAACCAAACCTTCCTAAGGTTAACTTCTTGGCCTGCGGGTTTTAAGTGATGAAGGAGTGAATTCGTTTTGAGACATCTCCAAACTTTCCTGGTGAGCCTATCCCTGAGGCCGCCTAGTGCATGGTCTGTAGTGAGGCGCCTGGTGCATGGGTCTGTAGTGAGGCGCCTAGTGCATGGGTCTGTAGTGAGGCGCCTAGTGCATGGGTCTGTGCATGGGTCTGTTAGTGAGGCGCCCTAGTGCATGGGTCTGTAGTGAGGCGCCTAGTGCATGGGTCTGTAGTGAGGCGCCTAGTGCATGGGTCCTGTAGTGAGGCGCCTAGTGCATTGGGTCTGTAGTGAGGCGCCTAGTGCATGGGTCCTGTAGTGAGGGCGCCTAGTGCATGGGTCTGTAGTGAGGCGCCTAGTGCATGGGTCTGTAGTGAGGCGCCTAGTGCATGGGTCTGTAGTGAGGCGCCTAGTGCATGGGTCTGTAGTGAGGCGCCTAGTGCATGGGTCTTTAGTGAGGCGCCTAGTGCATGGGTCTGTAGTGAGGCGACTCAAAGCTCACCTCGCCCGGCGCGGGTGGCCGCCTCCAGCACCAGCTCTGCCGCCTCCGCCCGCTCCTCGGCCACACTCTGCCGCCCGCGTCGCGCACCAGCCGGCCGGCGAGCTGCTGCGTGGACGGCAGGTCGCCAGCAGCAGCGAGGGGAGCGCATGAGGGAGAGAAAGACATGCGCCCGTGGCCGCATGCCTCTGTCCGCCCGCCCCAGCTCCTCTAGTTCCGCCATGCACTGCAGCGCGTCTGGGGGGGGGAGAGGGGGAGGGCATGGGGATGGTGGAGAATTTGAGTCGACCCCAAAGCCATTGCAGCCGCATGGAGTGACCCGCTCTCCCCAGCTCCTCCACCTCCGCCATGCACTGCAGCGCGTCTGGGAGGCAAAGGCCGAGTGGGCGAGAGAGAGGCGACATGGGAGGGGGAAGGGAAGGCGGTGGGTGTCGGGGCGAGTGGAGAGGAGGAGGGATGCAGTGGCAAGCAGTGTACGCAACGCATAAGGAGAGAACATGTGCCTAGTTTTGAGGAGCCTCAAAACCAGTGTGCGCATAAGGAGAGAACATGTGCCCATGGCGTGCATGATCTGGGTGGGTGGCTTGGGAATGGGGATGAAGATGGGGATGCATATTTCAGTGAAGAAAAGCCCGTCCATACCTTCATGCATACATGCCCCCATGACCCCAAGCAACCAATGCATACACGCACCCATGCACACATGCACACACCGCCCACACGCGCACCTTCAGGCGAGCCGACAGCAATGAAGGCGTCAATGATAGCCGTATACACCACTAGGTCCATCACCAGCGGATTGCTGCTGCTAGAGGTGGCACTGACTCTTACTGGCGCTCACACACCACCACACGCTCACGCACCACCACACACACACAAACCACCACACGCGCACACACCACCACACGCGCACACACCACCACACACGCACACAGCACCACACACGCACACACCGCCACACACGCACCTTCAGGCAAGCCGACAGCAATGTAGGCATCAATGGTAGCCGTATACACCACTCGGTCCATCACCAGCGGATTGCTGCTGCTAGAGGTGGCACTGCCAGTGCTGCTGCTAACACCCATACATGCACACACACGCACACGTCCATACACGTACACACCACCACACACGCATACACCGCACACAAGCACCTTCAGGCGAGCCGACAGCGACGAAGGCGTCAATGATGGCCGTGTACGCCACTCGGTCCATCACCAGCGGATTGCTGCTCGCCACCCCGCTGCTGCCCGTACTGCTGCCCGTACTGCTGCCATCAATCACAGCACTGCCAGCACTGCTGCTAGTCACGGGGATGACAGCACTGCTCACGCCCTCTTCCCCCCAACAGCCGCCACCCCAGAAGGCCCCTCAGCTGCAAGCAGGGCGCGGCAGTGCGGCTGGGAGGGGCCGGCAGGGCTGCGCACACAGCTGGCGCGCTTCATGTCCGCCACCACGTCCCTCAGCGCGTCTATGTCGCCCTCTTCTGATAGGCCCTGGTGAGAAGCGGGGGAAGGGTTGGGGTGGGAGGGAGAGCGGGAGTGGGTGAATGAGTGGGGGTGGACGAGTTAACACAGCTGGCGCGCTTCATGTCCGCCACCACGTCCCTCAGCGCGTCTCTGCCACCCTCCTCTGATAGGCCCTGGTGGGGGGAAGTGGGGCGGAAAGGGTTGAGGCGGGGAGCGAAAGGGGAATGACAGCTGGTGAGAGCAGAGAAAGAAGTGGATGGAAAGGGCAGGGGAAAAAAAGGAGCGGGCATGTGGGCGGTGCAGCGGGCATGTGGGCGGTGCTGTATGCGGCAAGGGGCAGAAATGGATTTCTCCAGAGGCATATCAGGGACAAGGGTGAACACGAGGGGCATGGGTGATGGGTTCAGGTGAGGAGCGCACCTTGATAATGGTGGTGTAGGTGACGGCGTCTGGCAGCACGTCGTCATCGCCCCTTCTCAATGCCTCTGCCTGCCAAGGCGCATGCGGGCAGTGACTGTCATGAGTACACACATATTCATTCTTGAAGACCATGCCAAACATAGTACACGGAATCGGCGCGAAGTTCCTGCAGCAGATGCTGAGGCACTTACATCCTGCACCTGTGCATGTGGACTGTCTCGATTTGTGAGGCGCTTCAAAAGGCACTTCACATCCTGCACCTGCTCGTGTGGGCAGTCCATGCCCCATAATCACAAGGGCCAATGGCCCCTGCTACATGTCCCCCTGCGCCCATGCCCCCCCCTGCGTCAACACCCTCTGAGCCAACGTCCCTCTGCGCCCATGACCCCCATGTCCCCTGCGCCCATGACCCCCATGTCGCGCCCATGACCCCCATGTCCCTGCGCCCATGACCCCCATGTCCCTGCGCCCATGACCCCCATGTCCCTGCGCCCATGACCCCCATGTCCCCTGCCATCATGACCCCAGCGCCCTTTCCCCCCGCGCCCATCCCTCCCCTCCCCTCCCCCACCTTCATGTCCTGCAGCAGATCGAGTGCGCGGTCCATATCCCCAGGGCCATTCATGCCCCTTAAACATTCGCGCCCAAGGGCCCCCCACACACCTTCATGTCCTGCAGCAGGTCGAGTGCGCGGTCCATATCCCCAGCGCACGCAGGTGAGGATGAGGCAGTTGAAGGTGACCTCCCCCCCAAATCTCCCCCCCCCAACACGCACCATTCATGCCCCTGCTCCCCCTGCACTCATGAGCCCCTGCACCCACGCCCACCCCCCCCCCCCACACACCTTCATGTCCTGCAGCAGGTCGAGTGCGCGGTCCATATCCCCAGCGCACGCAGGTGAGGATGAGGCAGTTGAAGGTGACCTCCCCCCAAATCTCCCCCCCCAACACGCACCATTCATGCCCCTGCTCCCCCTGCACTCATGAGCCCCTGCACCCACGCCCACCCCCCCCCCACACACCTTCATGTCCCTGCAGCAGGTCGAGTGCGCGGTCCATATCCCCGGCGCGCACGCAGGCGAGGATGAGGCAGTTGAAGGTGACTCGCTCCCACTGCAGCCCCTGCAGGTGCATCTCCTCCGCCACGCTCAGCGCTTCTAAAGGATTGTCCGACCGCGCATAGCCCTGGCGGAAGCGCGGGGGATGGGCAGGGGGAGGGGGGCGGGGGGTGAGGGGGGATGAGGATTGACCAGGAAGGGGGGTTGAACGGGAATGAGGATGGAACGAGGGAGGGACGGGGGGGCTGAAAGGGGGAAGCGAGAGGACGAGGTAGTTGAAGGTGACGCGCTCCCACTGCAGCCCCTGCAGGTGCATCTCCTCCGCCACGCTCACCGCCTCCAGTGGGTTGTCCGACCGCGCGTACCCCTGGCGGAAGCGGGGGGAGTGAGCGGGCGAGGGGGGTAACCGGGGGATGGGGGATGGCCATCCGAACATTGTGCATACCTTGAGCAGCAGGTTGTAGGTGAACGCGGACGGCCCAATAGCCCCCGAAAAGGCGCGCTTGTAGCGCTGCACGACGCTCATGGCGCGCCGAGCGTCCCCCGCGTCCGCGCACGCGTTCACGAGCGTGTTGAGGTGCACCGCCGTCAGCTCCGGCCGCCCCGGCGCCGTACCGTCCTCCATCGCCTCCAACACCTCGAACGCGTCGTCCAACCGCTTTGCGCGACCGAGACCCTGAGGGAAAGGAGGGGGGAGGTGCGCAAGGGGGTTGGAGGGTGTTCGAAAAAGCAGCACAGCGCAGAGGTGCCGAAGGTGTCGACGCAGAGAGACGCACCTTAATCCAATAGCGACTCTAAAACCAGAAAAAAGGCTGGTGGGGCAAGGAGACGCACCTTCAGCAGCGTGCCGTAGGTGATGGAGTCGACGCCCGTGCCGCCGTCCGCCGTCATGTCGTCGAAGAGGTCGAGCGCGCGGTCGATGTCGCCGCAGTTCACGCACGCCGCCATGGCCGCATTCATCGTGATCATGTTCACCGCCTTTCTGCTGCGCTTCGCGTCGTCCAGCAGTTGAAACACCTGCGATGCGATGGGGTGAGGGGTACACTGCGATTGAAAGGGATACGCGCGCGTACACGCCTCAAACTCCCGCAGTTGACGCACGCAGCCATGGCGGCGTTCATAGTGATCATGTTCACCGCCTTGCCGCTTCGCGTCCTCCAGGAGTTGAAACACCTGCGCTCAAGCGGAATGCGAGTCTTCAAGACTCGCACGATAGTTTGTAGCCAAGTCTAAGAAACATTTGCAAATGAGTGGGATACTTTCTGAGAATTCTCAAAAGTGACTCCAATACTGCAGATGAGTAGGATACGGGGTCACAGGTTGCACACAGCTGCAGCTGACGCACGGCACAACGGCAGTCGCATCAACCCCTCCTCTCGACTCTGGTCAACCTACACTCGCGCTTTACTCTTCGTCGGCCTTCCTACTCGATGCATCGCGTCCAGCCATTAACGCTTAATCCACCAATCCCTCATATCTCTTGACAACCTCCATCCTAACCTCCATCCCTTCTATCTATCCGCTCTCCAGCCTCGATTCCTCATCCACCTACTTCTTATCGAGTCAACCATCGGTCATCCATCTAGTCAACCCCTGACTGCCGGGATTCCTATCTCCGATCCCTCCATCTATCACGATCTTCTACCTGGTCCAGCTAGCGCCCGTTGCCAGCCTTTAAGTCGACTCAAACGTCATCCTCTTCGTCCCATTCTCTCTCTCCCCCTTCTCTACCTGGTCCAGCTGTCGCCGTTTCCCCAGCTCGACGATGCGTCGCGTCAGCATGCGCGCCTCGCCGGAGCTCGACTCGCGCTTCTTCCGCCAAAACGGCCACTGCGGCTGCGCCGGCGGCTCTATCTGCAATGCCTCCGCCAGCCCCTCCGCGCCCCCTTCCCCCGAGCCTCGCGCATTGCGCGCTCCACCTCCTTCTTCCGCCGTTCCTCCGACAACAGCTCCGCCGATGGCCGCCTTTGCGGGAGAAACCCCGCGTCTCCCCCCCGGCCTTTGCTGCTGCTGCGGTCGGCGCTGCTGCTGCCATCCCTGCTGCGCCTCCCCACTGCCTGATATGGACCCTGAGCCCCCGCTATAAGACCCGCCAAGCGACAGCCCTGACATCGAAATCCCCACCCGCGCTATAGTCACCCGAGCCCGTGCGCTCTCGCCCTTGTTTCGCCAGCTACGAGCGTAGTTCGCACCTCCGCCGCTGCCGCCGTCACTCCCGCCGCTAGCAACGGCATGGCATGTGCCCGCTCTGGCGCTCGGCTGCGGCCGCATTCGGGCGGCAGCTCTGGTGCCAGCTGGCACGAAGCGATCTAGTTGTTGATCTGAGGGGAAATCGACGGACGAGCGTTGATGGCGGTGCGATAACGACGGGGTGAGGCTAGGATCCAACGAGGGAACGAAGAACGAGGAGGATCCGGAAGCGAGAGAGGCCGTGTCTGCGAGGCGGCGATGAAGGAGAGCCGTCAATCCGTGCGACGCCGCCATGGTCGCCGTCAGTCAAACCTAGTCAACCTCGGTTCAGTACGCCCTTTCAGTTTGGACTAGAAAGTGAGAAAAAAGCGGCGCATTTCACACGAGGGACCTTGGGAACAGGCACGCTAACGCATGGCGCACGCACGAGCGCTGGGCAGGACAGCCCGTTGACAGCAAGCAGTTGTGAATTCTCGCGGCTGAAGGTCAACTCGAAGAACGGAATGTGGAGGAAATGCTGGGTGCAACCCCTTGGTGTGTGGAGCACACACAAGAGATAACACACCAGCAACAAACAGAACAGCACAGGTTGAAAAGTTGAGTTTCGAGTCATCAGTTCAGTAGAATGAACGAGTGCAGCAGGAAAAGGGAGACTGACAGACCGACAGACTGAAGGGGAGGTGCGGGAACAGCCAGACCCACAGACGGACGAGCGAGCATGGGATGTGGGGAATCTCCACCTGGCGGCCTAGAAGCTTGCAACCACTCGCGCAAACCCACGTCATCGTTTCTGTATCTGACCCTGGCGGCGGTACCAATGCTCGCTCTCGGGCTTCCCATTCTTTCGAACGAAATCGAGGAAATGTTGGAAGGCAGCAATTCATTCATTGCATCTACAGTGCGGATTTAGGTTTTGCATATCCCACCTGAAACAGTGTTCAGCATTCCAATTTGCAGAGAACCACTGATCTGAGACCAATCTCAATTACATGTGAGCTAGTGAAGATTGTGGGAAAAACTAGCTAAACAGTAACTCCTTTGGTGGCATAACATTGAGAACACAGGGGAGCACCATTGCAAGAGGGGGGAGTCCCTCGTTACATCTCACAATACAACAGCAGCTGTCCAACCTAGCCAATGCCTTGGCCTGCCTTCGCCCTGTCCAGCCGTTCTCCCCCACGGGCAGCAGCACGCCTGGCTTGGCTCTCCATGCCTGCCTTGCCCTCTAGCACCACAAGCAACCTGCACGTTGGTCCTTAGCACGTGTGGGGTGGGGTCGCAGCAGTCTAGGCGGCGGACTTGCCCTTCTTCTTCTGCAGCTTCTTCATGTAAAACTCCAGCTCCTTGCCCTCCAAAATGTACCTGCCATGCACCACCACACAGCAAACTCCACATGTCAGCGGCGAGACTAAAATACCTACTTTTGAGACGTCTCAAAAGATTCTTCATGTAGAACTCCAGCTCCTTGCCCTCCAAAATGTACCTGCCCGTCCAACCCACACACCAACCCCATATGTCAGCAGCAAGACTATACAATATCTACCACTGTATGTAGCAGGTGTGCTTGTAGCGGGTAGGCAGCAAGGAGCGTGTGCTAAAGCAGAAGTGCACGGAGGCAATAGGAGGGGCAAAGCAGAGCAGATAGGGCACGGGCTGCAGGTGCACAAGTGGCTGAGAGAGGGACTGACTGACCCGTCGCAGCGGCCGCACTGGCCGGGGCGGGAGGCGATGCAGGCGTAGAGGCGGCCGGCGGCGAACTGGTCCTCAAGGTGCGGGTCGAGCTTGTGCGACGCCAGGCGCTGCTCGTGCTTTGCGCTTCACGTGCCCACTCACCTTCTTCACCTCCTCTCCCGCCTCGCCCTCCGCCTTCTCCTCCTCGCCCTGCCGTGCACCACCGGGTGGGGGGATGGATGGAGGGTCCGTGGGATGAGTGGGGGAGGGGATGAGAGATGATCGGTGGGAGGGAGGGATAAGCGGCCGAAGCGAGGAGGTATCAGCAGCGCTAGGGTCGTCTTCCTGATTTGGCACGCGAGTGCACTCAATAACTCTTGGCATGCGCGCATCAAACACCGCTTCCCCTCCCCGCAAACCCTCCCCTCGCGCCAACCTTCCCCTCTCAGATAACCTAACTCCCCCCTTAGCCTGCCGTTCCGCAATGACCCACACCACTCCTCGCCGCCCGGCCCTCAGCCCCTTCGTCGCCCATCTGCTAACCCCTTCGTCGCCCATCTGCTAACCCCTTCGTCGCCCATCTGCTAACCCCTTCGTCGCCCATCTGCTAACCCCTTCGTCGCCCATCTGCTAACCCTTCGTCGCCCATCTGCTAACCCCTTCGTCGCCCATCTGCTAACCCCTTCGTCGCCCATCTGCTAACCCCTTCGTCGCCCATCTGCTAACCCCTTCGTCGCCCATCTGCTAACCCCTTCGTCGCCAGTTCCTTCACCGCTTTCCCAGCCCTCCTCACCTCCTCCTCAACCTTCACCTCCCCACGCGCCCCACCTTCTCGCCCCTCACCACCACCCTCGTTTAATACCGACCACTCGTACCGTTCCTTAACCCCGCACCCTCTCGCCTCTCACCACCCTCACTCCCCCCCCCCCGTCTCGCACCTCCTTCTTGCCGGCCTTGGACTTCTTCTTGCCGAGGTCCACGCCGTAGTGCTGCTGGTACCACTGCCGGAACGGCGCGGCGTCGACCTGAATGATGGCGTTCTTCACGAGCGTCTGCGTGCGGACCAGCTCGTTGTTGCTCGCGTTGTACGCCACGTCCAGGATGCGCGTCTTGCGCGTCACCGACTCGCTGCCCCACGCGTAGTTGCCCGTGTCCAGGCGCAGCGCGCGGAACTTGTAGTTCCCGCCGCGCACGCGGATCCGGCGCACCGTCTTGTGACTGCTGAGCTTTGTGTTGGCCGCCTGCCGACCCAAGTCATACCTGGCGATACGCGGGCGCGCGTTCGCGACGTGGAAAAGAGGGCAGGTTGGGGAAAGGGAGAAGGGGACAGAGAGAGGGGCCAGGGGGGGAGAAGGAAGGTTAGATAGGGGATGGGAGGGGGAGGCAAAGATGGGAAGGGTTAGTTGGGTGGGACGGGCAAGGAGAGAGGTAGGGAATGAAAGAGGACGATGGGGAGGGGGGAAATGGGAAGCAGGAGACAGAACAATGAAAAAGAGGTGAAGGGATCCGCGTGCGACACGCTCACTGGGTGCACCATTGACCCCTGTTCGAACTGTGCGACGGCTGCGAATCGCACGCATGGACCTATACGACTACAAAGACTATCCATCCGAACCAGCGGCATCCAAATTCGAATCCCAAAGTTCCTTCCGCGACCTGAGGAATACCTTAATCCAATCCAACCTCCTCCCCATCATCACTGGCAGGTTCACCAACCAACTCCTCCATCTATACTCCTCCATCCTTTCTCCCTCCCTCCCTCATCCTCCCTACTCGCTAGGACACAAAGGTGGGTACCCTGTCGGTCGCAATTAGCGGGACACAGAACAAGCTCTATGGGAGACCGACCGCCTTGGACCAGTCAGTATGGGATAAGGGCGACCAGCAGTCCGGGGAATCACGCTCTTTTCAGACCGAATCTCTTAACTCAGTCCGTATGGCACTCTAAAATCAAGGCTCTGGCCAACATCACACAATCG